CTGCTTATATATGTAGTATTAGTTCTCTCTTTCACTCTCTTTTCTCTCTCTCTCTCTCTCTCTCTCTCCCTCTCTCTCCCTCTCTCTCTCTCTCTCTCTCTCTCTCTTTCTCTTTCTTGCTTCCTCTATAACCATTCTTCAAAGGACATTGGATCAAATAGAGCGCAGTAAAATTGTTTCATTCCTTTGCCTTTAAGGTTTGGGCTGCTTATATATGTAGTATTAGTTCTCTCTTTCACTCTCTTTTCTCTCTCTCTCTCTCTCTCTCCCTCTCTCTCCCTCTCTCTCTCTCTCTCTCTCTCTCTCTTTCTCTTTCTTGCTTCCTCTATCTTTAAAAAAATATATATATTTAAAATGTTATTTTAAGTAGTTTAAGTCAACAGATCCAAAAGATCGCCGGTATGTGCATAACGTCATATATTTATTCAAAGTTCATACAACAGTGTTATTTTTAAATCTTTTCAAACCGCCAGGAATGACGTTAAATAAAATATACGACGGCTTACAGGCCTACATGTTATGAAAGCTACCAATGAAGGCCTTTTTATTTTAAAAAGTTTCAATTAGCAAGCAGAGTGTTTACACAAGGGTCCCTCGAAATAACTCTAGTTTCTTTACATCGTCCTTGAACTAAATCTCATTTACTTCCCTTGAAGGTTTGTTGGAATAATATCCAGTACGTCTGCCCGGGACCCAGATTTAGCTTACGGCTAACGAGAGGCACTAGGCTATTCAAAATTTGAGGCCCTTTGTAAACGCCCCCCCCTCCCCCTGGTTCCTCACAAATCATCCTCTACCTCAACTCTTCCCACCTCATTTCAAGTAGGTAACTCTGACATACAGTTTACACCCTCTGCTAGGAATCTTGGTTATATTCTTTCTAACAACATGTCTCTCGATAAACATATCTCTCACATTTGTCGTTCGGCATACACCGCCATCCGTCAGATCAGCTCCATCCGCCACTACCTGACAGTTAGCGCAACAAAAACTCTAGTCTGTGCTCTTGTTCTCTCTCGTCTTGACTATTGCAACTCACTTCTGTCAGGTTCACCGAAACATTTTATAGAAAAACTGCAGAAAGTTCAAAACTCTGCTGCTAGGCTTGTTCTTAAGGCAAAAAAACGCGATCACGTCACTCCACTACTCCACTCACTACATTGGCTCCCTATACAGGCACGCATTGACTACAAGCTGTCTCTTCTCTGTCACAACTTTTTCTCGGATTCCTGCCCTTCCTATCTAACTGAACTTCTTTCTGTCTATTCACCCCTTCGACAACTTCGCTCCTCCGCAGACTCGCGTATTCTGTCCGTTCCCAAGACACGCACTAAATTATATGGTGAACGATCTTTCTCTTTCTGCGCCACCAAACAATGGAATTCTTTGCCACTACACATCCGCAATATAACAACCACACAGGCCTTCAAAACTGCACTCAAAACACATCTATTTACTATGTCACTAACAGATGAGGGGAGATGTCTAGTGGGTAGGCTACATAAGGCGTCAGTAGCGCTTTGAGATAGGACGGTGCCAGGTCATGCAAGCAGCGGTAGCACAGAGTTGCAATTTTGTACTCTATACTCTCTCAGAAGTATTTTAGCATGGTCGAATTTGCGTTTTCGAAGAACAATGCGAGCCACATTAGTCTGTGCTTTTTTAATTTTATCCAGGAACGTAGCTGGAAGACATTTATCAATTCCTTCACGTTCTCACATATTATGATGGATATCTACACATTATCATTCCAATTATAACTTGTAAAAATATTTTTAATGTTTTGTAACGAAATGTGTCATGTCCTCATTCACTTCGTTATTACAATTAATGCGTCGCTAATTCTTTAAGAGGGGTTCATTCAGCATTTATTTCGCTGATAAAACTGAATTACCGTTTCGCGAAAAGGGGAAACCTTATAAACACTGTTTAACCAACATGAAAAGTTTGGAAGCTCCTTCCTCTTACTATCCATTCCTTTTTATAGTTCTAATACAAGTGGTATTATCATTGTCATTTATAGGATTATGTATAAATATTTACGTAAAATTAATTAGTTGTATAACAAATAGTTACTTTTAAAAGATTTAATTTCCTTCTTGAGAATCATTAATTTAAATTTAAGTAAATATGATGATACATCATTATCAATATATTTTGTAACTTAAATACGATATAAATATGAAATTTTGTTAACGTCATCAAATTTTTTACAATTCCGGTTATGATCTGATTCCGATTTCCGGTTCCAATTTTCTTTGCGAAAATGGCTGTTGTGTTATAAAAAGGATATAAAAAATACGCCCATTGCTAAGACAGTATCTCAATTAAGGTTTTTGATACATATTTATATTTGAAATAAATATATTTACCCAATGCGATTCATTCAATGTTGTTTCTATATTTGTTTTCGTCATAATTGTGCTTTGCAATGAACATCTGTGGTGCCTTCTTTATCACTTTACTGTTACTTTATCAAAAATTATTTAAATAATTAATTTCTTTTTTTACCCGTTTAGCCAAAAACAATTAGGTAATTGAATTGGTTGGAATATTGATTATAGGTAGAGCCTAAGTCATTTATACAGTACAATGTTCCCTACAAAGCACTTTCTTCTATTACACAATCGGACATATATTGACTTGTGTCCAGGGGCTTTATGGGTTTATCTTTGAATTTTCTTTCACTACCTAAAGGTCTAAGTCTAGTATGAGGTAGAGGCTCAACAGATGCCTACTATTGCTATACTGCATTACTTACCAGACTTAAAGACCAATTCTGCATTCCTAACTTGGTAGCTTGATCAGGCAATGCTATTCATAAACAAGGTAGCTTTATCCACCTTTCATCTCAAGCATCTTGGGGGGTGGGGATTCAATTTTTCTTCATTATTGTTTAATCGCTTTTGCCTAGTGCATTGATTTGGGATGATGAGGATGCTAGCATAATGATGTTATTTTAAGAAATGAGACATATTTTGCATTAACAAAATTGATTACTTGTCTAAAATATATATTGCCCTGACTCAACTTGGTAAATCTATTTCAATGCCTCCGTTGAAGACTGTTTACTCTGATAATGCGAGGTAGGCTGACCCAAATTCTAAATGTATTAACTTATTCTAGTTCAAGAATCTTGTTCCTGAGTATTATTCACCTGGTTATGACAGTCTCTCATAGGCTATAGGTCATAAACTTTGATTTTTTTGTGATGATCCTCAGACATACTACTATCTCCAAAAAATTTGTTTTCACACATTACCGGTATCTAAAATTTTTGGTATATCTTTGCAAAAAATTTTTGACAGTGGTACAAATTCAGGTCAATTTACACAATCTGCACTACTTTGAGTTTTTGAGTATGATTCTCACCCCTTTGTTTATTCATGGAGAGTTAGAATGTCTTTGGATTTAATATTAATATGCTTATTGGAATGTTTTTGATTGATGGATTATTAAATTAATATTTCATTGGGTGGTTAATTAAAATATTTCAAAAACGAGGCTATACTATGGTACAGAGTTAAGAGAGGCTATTTTGCTGTTGGCATATTGTAAAATGGATTTTCCTATCCTCTTTTGGATTTTATTTTTGGTGGAACCTGCAATAAAGTGTGTAAAAGTAGAAGTGTATTCAATGAAATTATAAGCTGGGTTTTCATTATTTTGAATATTTTAAAAATATCAATATTTTTATTCATATTTTAGATTTTTCAGTACAGTACAAATAGTACAATCTGTAACTGTAGCACATGGACATGTGGTTTTCAGGTTCATCTTAAGCTAATTGACATCTAAATTTACGCTCAAGTTAAGGGAGGACTAAATTAAGGGTGGAATTTATGCTTGACTTTGGGATACTGACTTAACATTCAGGTTAGGTAGTGCTGTAGATTTTACGATTGAAGGTTTTTCTCAAAAATTATTTTCATTTGATGTTAACGTGATTTTCATTTTTGTTTCTCTCGTTAAGTAGTAAAAGCAACACACTTTCTCCCCTTCCCCTCACCATTTTAGCCGACATGTTTTTGCTCTACTTTTTTTTGTACACTGCCACCACCTTTTTTGCAGTGACACATCTGCAGTCATGGCAAGAGTGGGGGAAAAAAGGAACTAGTAGTGCAAAAACACAGGGAAATTAGTGGCCCTGGATAGCATAAGTTACTGAAACTCACAATTTCCCATTAATATTTAGAGATTTCCTCAGAACACTGTCAAAATCAATTTTGAAAACTATTATTATTAGAACTGACTTTGAACATATGTGTTAATGGAAGATTAATGAGTACAAACAGTGGCATAGGAAGTTGGGTGAGTAGGGGGCACTTTAAAAAAAATTTATATGGAGAGGCAGCATTTTTTGCCTACTCTAGATTTTTTCATGTAAAGGAGGCGACAAATGAGTGCAAAATTTTAAAATTAAAATATCATTACAATGATGGTTTATCATAATAAATAAGCTTTATGGTTAAATTCAGCTTGACTTGGCCCACAGCCATTTCATCTCTTGAGTAACAATCACTACTTTTTTACTAAAAAAATAAGGGTTTGGGTAGTTAATAATTCATGTTTGCTGCTGTCGCTTGAAGGTACAAAATATGGTCGTAGTTTCTATTTTAAAAACCCCAAATTCAATTATTGACATGATGTTCTTTCAGAAACAATTATTTTATTCCTTGTATTTCTAATAAGCTTTGTTTCCGAAAAAAATAATTCTTTCAGGTCCTTCTCGAAAGGGACACACTGTTTGTTTTCCATAACTTTTCTAACACAGTTTTCAGGTTTTCTAATTCATACTAATTGGATAACTGATGAAAACTCTATACTGTTACCACTGAAAATCTACCGAAACCAACTTTTTCTGTGTCCCCAAACACAAAAGATTACATTTAGAAAAAGGTCAACCTTGTTCTGGCAAGGGAACTGTCATGAACTATTTATAATTGATATTTTAAGCCAGTAGTTTAAAAATAAATGTTTTGTTTCTGCTATTCTCAAACAGGTACTTGTTTTGTAATAAAGCTAAGAGAATGACATCAGCAATGTTGAAGAGTAATAATTCCATTCTGGATATTGCCTTGAGTAGACTACCGGTACTTTAAATATATATAGTTTTTGTATCCACTCATACTGACTTGAAAGCTGATTGTCAACATTTTGACCTGGATTAAATCAACAAGACAAACTTCTAGTTAACACTTGGTTTGGGTAAACATGGAAGTTGACCCTCCTACATCATCATCATCCAGTCCTGTACAGAACAATGGTGGAACATTAAAACGCTCGAACAGTGCTCCAATGATAAACACACTTGTTACCTCAGAAGCTGATATAAGGTAAGAAATCCTGCCAGGAAATTTATTGTACGTTTCTTGTGTTTTTCTGCTACTTAAAGTTTTAAATTTATTTTATTATTTTTGGTAATTATTTACTGAATCTAGGAGAAGAGACCTATTATTTAAATACATTTTTCACTTTACTGTTCATTTGATTATATATATTTATATATATATATCATTAAGCTTTGTTTTGACCATTGCATGCATGAAATGTGTTAAAAAACTGGTTAACCTTTTGTTCATTGTTTTACATTAATATTGCTTAGCATCTGGTTTTAACAATCCTCTTCAATACTTTATGTAAATACAATTAAACATTCTATTTATTATTGGGTTGTTTTATATAGCGCAGTACCCCAGCCTAGGGTAAGGCTCACTGCGCTTTACATAAAAATGAGCAATTACAGAAACATTTAAAAACAACAATTGATGAAAAGCTTGACCTCACCCACCGAAGTACTATCTATCCCTGTCTAGCCATGGACAGCACCCAACAGAATCAAGCATTATCAGTCAGAGGGGGGTGAGGCATTATCAGTCAGAGGGAGGTGAGAATGAGTCGTTATAGTACAGTTTGAAGAGATGAGTCTTTAGGGCAGTTTTGAAGGCTGTGATGGTCGTTATATTGCGGGTGTGTAATGGGAAAGAATTCCATTGTTTTGGGGCACAGAAAGAGAAAGAACATTAACCAAATGTTTTAATGTGTGTTCTGGGAACAGAAAGAATGCGAGTGTCTGCAGAGAAACAAAGCTTTCGAAAGGTAAAGGACAGTAAGAAGTTGTTTGTTTTTTCCCTTTATTTACAGTCCACCTGTGTCTTTTAAAACGACCACATCTACTGCTCTCAGGCGTATGAGTTCAAGCAACATGACACTTCATAATGCCCCACCATCAACAAGTGTAAATATACTTTGGTTATTTTTGTACTATAGATTCCACTTACTTAGCTGGGGCAATTATTTTCTATTTTGACCTAAATGAATTTACCCTGAATGCAACAATTTTGTCTAGTTTTAAGCCTGCTTATTTGCATGTGGGCATATTTACCTTAAATCACTGGGTATGTTGGGTTCCAAAACCCTTTTGAAACCTGTTACGAACTGATATATGATTTTGCAAATTAAAACACGAAAGATTTGGTTCAGTAAATAAACAATGCATGATAAAGGACTGAAAACCAGAATATAAAGAAAAATGATACCAAAGCTACTGAATTTTCAACATTCAATTTAATTACACTATTAAGCTTACATAATAATACAAAATAAAATTAAAAGAAATAAAAACTTTAATGTGGCTAGTGAAAAATTGTAATCCTCAACCTCAAAATGTACAAATATTAATATACACACACTCGAGAACAATCAGTATATTTAAGTCTGGTAAATGTCTGGGAAAACATGCACAAATCTCTCTTGACTGGGAAAACTGACAGCTTATTTTTAGGGAGTGTCTTAGAACCTCGAGAAAAGGAATTCTAGAAATTGCATCACCTGATAGCATTCTTTAGAACAAATTGGAATGTATTAAACCTTTTACCAAACAAGGGAAGGTGGGGTAGAAAAGAGGCGGCAGCACAGCATCACCAAGTTAATTGGTGACATCGGTATCATAAAAAAATGGGGAGTGGGGGGTAAGGTTGAATGCTACGGCTCATGGTGAACAAAATTAGGTCAACACACAGGCTATAAAAAAAACCTTCAACAAATGTCACACATTTATGTATTTCTGGGGGCTCATGGTCTTTGGTTTTGTCCTGAAAAACTTTAAAAACTTTTTCAGCCACCCATAAGAAGTACAGACAGAGTGACAAGGATAAAACAAGAAGAAATCCATAAAGCTGATATTGAACGACAGCATGAAAGGTGCTTAACGTCATTTAATAAAAATTAGATTTGCTGTGTTCATAAATTTAAAATGCTTCATTAAATTGTAGGATGAAAAAAAAAAGTGTAATTTAAATTGTAACCTTATAATTTGATTTTAAAAAGCTATGCATTTTTTATAGAGATCAATTATTGACAGTTTTTTGTTTTTTACAGAGAAATACAATCATCTATTTGGATCTCTCAAAACTGGGATAGTCTTTCATTTGTAAGTGAATTTATTCTTTTACAATACCAGTACTTAACAATCACTGCTTAAGCAAGAACAATGTTTCTGGTAATCTTGCTGTTGGAAAAAAAAAAAAAGATAAATTTTATGATTATGGATATTTCTAATTTAATGCAAATCAGCCTTTCTATTAAAGTCCTAATGAATTAGTTTTAATGATAAAAAATTGAATATTGTAAGAAAATGATTTTTTATTTATTTTAAAATGAAATTATTCTTTATAATTTTGAGTACGGAAATTTTTATAAGAGAATAGTTCTAATAATTATTTAAGCTTTAGATGAGATAACATATTAATCTAGATGCCATTCTGGAAATGCAGGATACATCAGAGCCCATGGAGGGTCAAAGGCGGCAGAGGTCTTTTAGTGAATCGCTGCACATTATGACACAGTCCAATATATTATGTGGGTCACCATCCCCCACAAGAGCTGTTGCTAAGGTACACTAGTTTTTGTGTGTTAAATAATCCAGTAATTCAAGTTTGAAGCTTAAAACAATTGAGTAGCCAGTCAAACTTTTTTTGTTCTTGTTTAGTTATATTGTATTGTGTGTGCTAGCTTTTCAAGAATTAACACTCAAGTCTAATGGACTGATCATTCCTCCCATAGCAATGCTTTTCACCATCAATGCAGATACCTGTCAAGAACACAACCTTCACACCCTCACCTTCACCGAGCCCAACGCGGAAGAACTTTCATAGGTAATTTATCTGTAGAAAAAAAAAAAAACTATAAATCTAGACATTGTCACACATTTCAGAAATGTATTTTTTTTGTAAATCCAATGGCTCAAACTACTTTCTGTTGCAAGTACACTTAAAAATATTAAAATTATGTACTTTTTTTGTAAATCCAATGGCCCAAACTACTTTCATTTGCGGGTACACTTAAAATGATATTTAAAAAACAATCTGGTATAACTTTAAAAAAAACCTGAGTAGATTTATTTAACCCTATAACCGTCAAGCCATTTTTAGCAATTTCATATGGTTTACAAAATGAAAAAAAAAAACCCAGATTAAATGAATTCAGAGACCCTTACAATTACAAGTATACATTTTCTTAAAGTACATTGGTAAAGGTATCTTATGGTATGAAAAGAATTTGTTTTTATATTATGTATGTTGATATTGACTTTTAAAGAGTGAGTAAAATTTTAGTACTCAGCTTCTGAATTCAACAGTCCGTAAATACTCCATAAATTACTTCTAACTATCATAAAATCACGTTTTTGAGATAATAGAAGCAATATTCCTCAAAATGTCGAGTTATAGTTACTTATATTGAAAATTGTGTTATTCGTGAATTTTTTCATTCACTACCTTCAAAATTCTGTTGTACAAAATACAAAGGGGAAGGCACAAAATGGGTACAGAAATTTCTTTTAAATTGAAGTTATTAAATCCATTTTTTATTAATTAATACTCCAGAACATTCACAAACATAAATATCTTTGAGGTAAGCCTTTAGGATCCAATATGTGTCTTTTTCTGTTTGATTTCCGCCCTTTCCCAAGCGAATTTTTCTGTAACAATGCGAGTAGGCTTAGGGATAAAATTGTCAATATCTGACTCTTATCTCGACATCACTACTAGAGCTTCTTCTTCTTCTATATCTTAAGGGCCCACGATCAATTTATTGATCATTTTGGCTCCTATGCATGTAGATGGGATTTGCAATGTTTCTGTTACTGGCGGTGATGAGGAAATTATGCACTAGGGGTTTGAAGGCTTGAGGCAATAGACACAAATGTGTCTAGTGTTGTCGCCTCAACTGTTCCTTTTGAAAGATGGTTCCAGTCCCTGATTGTCTTGGGCAGGAATGAGCTGCTCCTATACTGGCTTCTTGCTGGTATGAGCCTGAATTGCCTGTCATGGCCTCGTCGCTGTCTATGGGGGAGAGGGACGAGTTTCTGTTTAATACTGGAACAGTGGACCAGCCCATTATTTATCTTGTACATCATGGAGAATAATGTAATTACTAGCACATGGCATATCTTTGAAATCTTTGCTTTCATTTTAATATATTTGAAATAATTCATATAAAGAAATTCTGTGTTAATTTTGAAATCTATAAGGGGGCCCTCTCTGCCATCAGACATGGCAGTTAACAAATTTAAGAAAATTTCACATCTGATTATTCACCTAAAAATCCCAGATAAAAGCACTTCAACACACTGATAGTAGATAGTGATGAAAATAAGAAGCACACTCATTTATACAGAGCAGACCTGTTTACTCTTACGATTTTGGCGTACAATCTACGATTTTGAGGTGTATACATTATATCTACTGTATGTATATGATTTTAAGAGTTTGAGGGTAAACAGGTCTGATAGAGTGGTTTCCTCTTATACAATGTACATTAAATTATTCGCATTTGTAATGACGATTTTTGTTATATCGACTGTGACACCACAGAAAGGGGTGTAATGGCCTATGATTGTTACAGGGTTAAAATATATTTAGGAGATTAAAATGTATATATTATAAAATTGGTTGAATCAAGAAGAGGATTCCAAAAATAATAAAAACCTAAGTTTTAAGGCTTTTTTGGTTTAATTCATTTTACAGTATTTATCTTATTTTAAAATTAATATTTCCAGGAGTCTGAGTCCCATTGCTGTGAGGACTTCAGCGGTCTCATTGAAGCGAAAATGTAAGTCAAATGTTACCTACTACATTTTTGATATTTTGTACACAGACACTCTAATGATCATTAGAAAGGAATCAAATACAGTTGTCATAATTGGAGATGAACACCGAATTTCTACGATAAAATAGGGAAGTGACGGTAAGAGAGTTAACAGAAAATAGAGAAGTCAAATTTGTTTTTATTTTGATGATTTTTAAATTTGGTTTACTTTGAACATTTGTCATCTTTGGAAGTTTTGAGGACTTTGTAGATGGAAACAAATCCGTATAATATTTATACATAGAACAATTATTGTGAGTACATATGCAACACAATTATGGTTCTTGTGTAGTAATTTTTATTAAACATGAAAGAATAAACTCATCAGGTTTTTTTTTTAAGAACAGAGGTAGTTGTATTTAAAAACTTGTTCCAATTCCCTTCATCAACCTTAGTATGGCATGCCAAGTCACTTATAAATGAAGTTTTGCCCTCAGATAGAGTCTAGTTGTAAAATTACATAAATATATCATAGTAAAAAATTTTTTCTTTTATTTAAAATTTCACTCTTCACCCAACTTGTCAATGTTTAACTTCCTGTTTAGTGTACTGTCGAGGAGTAAACATGAAACTAGTAGTATTTTACTATTCTGTCTTAATTCTATGAATATTTTAATGCTTAGAATGATTTAAAAATAAAATTAGTAGTTTTAGAAATTGAAATAAAGACCCACAGAAATAAAATGTTTTTCTTGTCAATGCAGTGGAAAATGATGGTGATAAATGGGACTATATCAGCCCACCAAAGAAGTTCAGCACCGGGGCCAGTACTCCTGATAGAATTATGACCTGTGTTCATCCATTGGCTAATAGGTCAGTGTTAGTTTTCATCTCAATCAAATGACCCCAGCTTACTTTGTTTCAGCGCAGCATGCCACTTAGTGAGAAAACTGTTTTACTGTTGCACAAATAAAATGTGAATGTTAAATTGATTTCTCATGATGATTACTTTGCTTATTGAAATATTTCGATCAAAATTTAACACTTTCTAAGTTATTTTAAATTTAAAGAAAAACCAGGAATATATATATATATATAAATTTTTAAGATCCATTCTCTGACCATCACATTAGAAATTGTTATTTTTCTCATTTTTTTTAGTTATACAGATTCTTATCTTAAGAATATCATATCTAGGGAAACTGAATTATAATGCAAATTGTTTAGTCTTGTCCGCCACCTTCCCCATCTCTATGTCATACAGCATTGTTTGTGTTTTGTTTCAGTATCTCCAGCAGTAGCTTAGATGCCAACAGCCCAGAGCAGTCAGTGCCAAGGTCCAATAATATCAGCAGTGGTGCTGGCATTACTCACATTCACCAGTCCCCTCTAGGGGGGCTTGCACCCCTCTCTGTTGGCGGCGGAGGACACTCACCCCATCCGTCCATTAACAACCAGGGTGGTGCCTCCGGTCCGGTCCCCATGCCACCCAGCAAGCAAGGATTCCTGTTCCAGCCAGTCTCAGAGGCCATGGGCTCCCCATCGTCCACGTCCTCCTCATCCTCGTCCAGCTTGTCGATGCACCACCTCCACCCGCAACCAGACCAGCAGTCGCACCACGCCGACAGGAGCCCACTGGCCCACGCTCACTCACAAATGTCCCCACAGCAACCACTGCGCACACATTCATCCATGAGCAATGATGGGAACAGCCATAATAGCAATGACATTTACATGAGTGATACAGAAATGAGGGACCATTCAGATATGGCCAGCAAGCCATCAGAAGGCTTTAGCCTTTCAGATTTGAACAGCAAACCATCGGAAGGTTTTAACTTCAAGCCTATCCGGCCTGACTACACTTAAAATTTGCATGTGCATCCTGGACTGACGCTCGGCAACACACACTAGCAACAGAAGAAACGATTTGAAATAAAACTGCATTTAAAAATGTGTTGGTCTTGTGGGAAGTTACTGAGGTTTCCAACCAAATAAAATGACTAACATACTGTTGTTACGTGCATCCTGTTACAGGTAAAAGAGGTAAAATTGTTGGATATTATCAAACCATTGTTGGATGTGATGACATCATTGTTGCATATATCATGATTATTATGAAAAATTTACTCAGAAATCATATTGCACATTTGTTTTGAATTGTGCATATGGCATAGATCATTCTTTTTATCATTAGGTAGCATCGTTGTTTTGAAATTATTATGTTCCTTTAATTTCCATCTTGTGTTCAAACAAATGCAGCTGTCGCAATTCATTGTTAAAATTATTTCCAAAACTTGGATTTAAACAATAAGCAAAACAATAAAGAAAATCATTTTTGCTTCCCAGTCGAGGACTATATCCACAGAACAGATGTATTTATTTAAGTTGAAGACGCCCTGAAGTTCGGGAGAATGAATTGTTGCTTATCATTTTTCATGGAATATATAAAATACAAGAGAACTTTAATTGCACAAATACAGAAATATGTATGTGTTATGATCATTGCTTTTCATTAATAGTCTCGTAAGCAATGTATCCTGAAAATATTATTCCTGGCACATTTCTCTCATAACTGATACTATGTTCTAAATGTCCATGATATTGCTGCACATTTCTGTTGTAACAGCCTTAAGCACCATTTGTATCATACAGTGTTGGCTGCGCATGTTTGTATAGCTCTGTCCTCACTTCGTTATTTAATTTTTGTTCTCAGTCATGCCCCATTAGTTCTTCTTGAGCATCTCACACGCTAATTATTTTAGTCTCTAAGTAAACTCGGACTGTAGGTGTTGAATTTGTCCAGTGTAGATAATCCTTTTTTTTTTCACCTGTATGTAATCGAGATATAACGAACTATCACCTTTTGAGCTGTGAGGTCAGAAAATAGACACTGTGAGGTTATACAATTTTCATTGAATACATAATTTATTTAGTGAAATGTTCTACATAAGTGGAGAGAACGACTGGATAAAACGATAGTATATATAGGGGAGGGTGGTCTAGAGAAGTGAGCATACATGAAAATGAGGCATTCATTCTTTGAAAATTAACACACTGCCGGCAAAAACCTCATCCCAAAGAAATAATGGTCCATTATTGATCAATTTGTCCAATACCTGCTTTTTATTTCTAAAAGCCTAATAAATCTCAGGATTTCATTTGCAGCGTCTTTAAAAGAGAAATTCTTAAATCCTATTGTTATGTTCTTTGATTTAAACAACAAAGTTATTTTAGACAGTATTTCAAACATAACCTATTCAGGTGACTTTAAAGCACAAAACTGTTTTGGGAAATTTAAAAAAATCAATTTTTTTTTAAAACCAGTAGTATCACTGCTTAGTGACACTTTAATTTTCACAACAAAAATTATAGTGTTTAGTGCTTAAACACTATGAAACATTAAACAGTATGAAAATAATTTTTTGTAACTAGGGACGTGGTAATGTTTTGCTTGTGTATGCGTAAAATTTCATCATACTAATAAGAAATTGTATCCAGAGGACGTTATACAATGGTCGGATTTCTATTTATCGGTTTTAGTTGAAAACAATTATTTTTGCATGCAAAACCATTAAATTATTTATTATATTTATATTTTTATAATGAAAATGACAAAAGGAGAAACTTTTGAAAAAATGTTTAATTAATAAAAGATGCCTTAAAATAAGCATACAATATAAATTGTAAACAAACCAAACATACTGTTTAAAGAAGTTTAGCGTACAGCATAGAAAAAAATTAAACGTACAGTACAAACTAGTCAAACGTACTCCAATACTTGCTTTAATTCCAATGAGGTAAAAAAAAAAATTGTTATTGAAATTAATGAAATCACACATCTTACCCTATAATTTTTGTTTGATGTGCTAGAAATGTCGGTGTGTGGCATAAATTTGGAATTTTAATAGAAAATTCCATTTGCATTTTTGAGGTTAGTATATGAAACTCTTTGCTAGGTCTGGTGATCAGGCAAAACAAGTGCCATACTGGTGCATATTAGCCTCATTTTGTTTGACTTTACTACTTTATACTTCAGGATACTTGTCAAGCTTTTATTGAAAATGCTAGTACTTTCTATTTAAATTTATCCTCTTTTTTTATTCTTTCTAAAATTATTCTGCCATATCAAACCACATAAACATTATGTTATCTATATAATTAATACCCATAAGTCATTGTTTTTCAAATGTCTGTTGAACATTTTTTTGGAGATAAAGAAAAGCATAACAGGAAATTTAACAAATTTTTGTACCGAAAAGCGGGATGGTGTCCTTAGAAATGTTGAAAGTAAACTTGTTCTTAGGGTCCTATCAAAGTACACTTATGCTATTGAGGTATTTCAAAATACACTTACACTATTGAAGTATTTCCTAGTATGCCTACACTATAAAAGCATATCAAAGGGCCTGACGCTCCTGCAATTTCAGTGGCTAGCTGCATCCATGTAACTTTTCCTGCATCTGAATAATTTTTAAAAAAAATGATATTTTTACTAATAAATGAATTCCATCTCTGACAAGGAATAAATTAAAGGTTTCTGTGTGGTGCTTTGCACAGGTTTAACATATGGTCAGTATAGATTCTAGTCAGATGTCGCTGGTTGTAAATTGTGGGCATTGTAAGGCTGCAGGTGTGTAGTCATGCTTGACTGTTCAATGAGTTGACATTCTTTAATGAGATTTTGATTGCAGATGAGCTGCATAATGAACTGATTTCATTAATATACCATTTGTTGCTGGTTCGACTCATGGTCCTGGTTCTCAGTTGTGTTTGCGTGAACTCGTCATTTCAGATATGGTGGAAATTAATAAATTTTGTATTATTATTTGTTATATAAACCTATATAAATATCTATATGTAAACAATTATCCTTGTAAAAAAAACATGACACAAATTATTTTTTTATTTGATACAAGAATGGTTATTGGTAACATCAGTTTTTTTTTTTTATAACAAATTTAATTCCAAAAATCATCAGGTTTTTTTTGTTACATTTTTTACACGAAAAAGTTTTTTGTTTTTTTATTTGAAGAAGAGCCTAGTATTGGCTAATGTTGACACCATGTGACCAATGTTTGTGTTATGTTTGGCTAGCTTCATTTTTTTGGTACAAAAGTTAACATGTGTTTTGAACTTTTGTATTCCTATTTTATGTGAACATATTGGAAACAAAAATCATATAATCAATGCTCGACCCTAACCTTATTTTTATAGCATACCAAAAGCTGTAGTTGGTGCTTGATCAAGACTCATGAGCTCTGTCTAGTAACTCATGAGAACACACATTTTTTTTCTATTGTTTCCAATCTTGGTTATGCATTTTGTTAACATCTCAGCTTGCACAAATATTTGAAGAGATTCACGTTTCAATGGTTTTTTTTAATGTGTTTTTTGTTTTTGTTTTTTTTCAACATCAAAACACATTTTTAGAATCATTTAAAAGGAGCACCCAATCTTCTAATTTTTTTGGTGAAAGTAAAATGATGACTGTTTTAAGATAAAAATTAGCTATAATTTAATGTGGTGGCTGCTTTTTCGCAATATTTAAATCCACATCATGTATTTTTTAAGGCAATTATTCCAGTTTTATCACAGCTGAGGGATGTAGTTGTTCCCTGTAACATATCCCAAGCTAAGTTAAGATATGACTGTCCACATCATTTGTAGGCTTTGTCTCTGCAGGCAAAGCTATTGTGCTGGGGTAATGATGTGGGTGAAATTAGGTTCTCTTCCCAATACTGGTTTGTGATTTTATCAAGTTTTCAACCAAGGTCTGAGCCTAAGCTACTTTGGACAAGAGTTTGTCTAAGGAATGATAAATTTCAATTGATGTAAGAGTTTGTCTATGGAGTGACACATTTCAATCGATGCAAGTCAAATATTTGGGCATTTATAGTAAATAAGTGTTGTTAAATATTTCATCAGTTTTAAATACTAGCTAATTAGTAATTATGTAATGGGCATAAACTGATATTTTTTTTATAGCCTTACCATGAATTTAAAATATATAGCATAGCGTAGCATAATTAATTATTCATGCTTGATACACCAAATGTTGTAAACATGATTATTTTATTGGAATATAAGTATAAGTTAGATTAAATGAAAAACAGACCAGTTGTTTTAAATATAATAATGGCCCCTCAATCAAAAAAGCTTGCTGACCCCTGGGTTCACAGATACCAACATGGACAGTGGTTTATTTAGCTGGTCTGTAATTGTATTTGAAGACATGACTTTACGTACCTTTAAGATCACCATATAATATGTAATTATAGAATATGTCAGCATGTGTCAGGAAACGATAATCATGTTTCCATGTGCTTCTTAGTGTGACGCAACCAGCGGTCTATTGGTCCACGAGTGTACATAGGAGATGGTACTGGTGTATATTTTCATGTGTACAAAAAAATGTAAATTTGTTCATAACAGTAACAGTGCTTATCATGTAAACTGGTGCAAACATGTATACATAAAGTATGTGTCTTGATGGTGTATTGTGGTTGTCTCCCTTCACCACCACTGCCTATACCACACCATTCCCCCCCTCCCCCCACACACACACACCTACCCCTCTGTACATTTTAATACGTGGTTCTCAAACCCTGCTGCTTGAGGTTAGGTAAGAGCAGATATTTCATCTGGACACATAAGATGCTGACATACGGGTTTACTAAGAGTACAAATGGGTTTGTTATAAGTTTTTACAGCCCATTTTGGATCTTTTCCTGAGTAAATAATGCCAAAAACTATCCAACCCAACAAGCAAAGGGTGTTAACTCTAAACATTACTGAAACAGTTTTTGGTCTTCATTGTGAAGTCTAAACATTACTGAAACAGTTTTTGGTCTTCATTGTGAAGTCTAAACATTACTGAAACAGTTTTTGGTCTTCATTGTGAAGTCTATCTGCTCTGCAAGTCTGCACATAAACTTACGACATCATAGTGGTTTTTTCATTATTTTTTATTTGTCAATAAAATTATAAAATTGTCAATTTAATTACTTTTTTTATGAATAATGCGCTCTAACTTTTAAGGCATATTTATGTTAGTGTTATGATACTAAGTATGTGTCTTCGGAAACTTTGAGTACTGACGAAAAGGTCATGAAGTTTTAGTGTGTGAAGTTAAGTAGACTAGAGAACCACTAGCATCCATTGTTCATCACTTCCCTTACAGTCTATGACATGTCTATGCATTGGATAATTATTTTGAATCATTGCTTCGAGTGCTCCGTCATCAGTATGGGTGCTTCATAAAAATGATTGAACCCCTTTTATCAATCATCTTACCTCATATGAAATCTGTTGTCCCCTCATATGAAATCTGTTGTCCCATTAATAATTCAAATATGCATCCTGCAATGTCTGGAGGGCCACGCAAACTTTGGAGGTATTTCAACTTGTGTGCTTGAAAGATTACTGTTACATATTAATGTTATGTAGGCAGGGCAAGATTTAACAGCTGCAAGCTAATTGTAACTTCAGCTTAAGGCAATACTGAAGGTCAAACAAAAAATCAAACTTCAGATCAAGCGAAACAAATATTTTAATATTATTGACAAGTGAAAATGATTTTAAATTGTTGTTTTTTAATTGACTTACTCAAACTTAAAATGTTTTGCTATTGAACAAAATATAGGCAATTTTTAAATGTTGGCCTCCAAACTTTAAATAGCTGAGCTGTGACCAGTTCTAAAATCCAGCCCTGTATTGTATGCAGATATATTGTCATGCACTAAATTTATTTTGTGTTAGGGAATTTTTTTTGTATTTGTTAAAACAGATTTTTGAAAAAATGCAGTCACTAGAGGAATCATCAAAAGAGACTATTTAAATTAGAGATGATTTCAACTTATATAAAAATTCAGTTAACCCTATATTGTGAGTAATCATTAACTATATACCATCAGAGGTTTTTTTTGTTTGTTTTTTTTATATTGTCCCCTGTGAGGTGACAGTGCTAACTAACAGCCATAGTTGTCCCTTGTCGTGATGTAGTAACTATGTCTTATGGGTCAGTTTCCCAGTCAATCTCATTTCAAATAAACTTGATTTGTTCACAAGTCTGTCTTGATTTCATTGAGTTTTTCTAAACCTGTCTTCTACTTTCCAATTGTTTTACTAAAGATCTAAAAACATCTAATAATTTTGGTTACCGTATGTTTTTTTTTCCTTTTAAGCAAGGTGGGGGGGGGGGAAAGACGCCCGATAAGGGACTTGAACCCTTGACCCTCAGATTAAAAGTCTGATGCTCTACCGACTGAGCTAACCGGGCCCAACAGCTGCAATGTGAAGGTTACCTTCTCATTATCTTCATTACAAAAAAAAAATAAAATAACGATCCTTACTGGTCCATTTACGGTAATATCTAGTCAAAGATTTAAGAATGTAATTATTTCTGAAAGTTGAAAGAAAATTAAGGCGGGGATAGTTGATATTTTATGAACAGAATTATATTCCACAAGTCAGAACTCATGACCATGACGACAGTCAAGTAAAATAACTGGTGGACCAGGTGGTATGGAACAAGGAATTGACTCGCTTTATTTGCCTTTGGGAAGCGTCATACACAGTCGGCTGGGAATTTAGCCAAATAATGTTATTATTACCGGTTATTACCGGTAGTTGGGCAATTTTAAAAAAAGTATTATGCGTAATGAGCTGCATGATATGATGATATGATGATATGATGATATGATGATATGATGATATGATGATATGATGATATGATGATATGATGATATGATGATATGATGATATGATGATATGATGATATGATGATATGATGATATGATGATATGATATGATGATATGATGATATGATGATATGATGATATGATGATATGATGATATGATGATATGATGATATGATGATATGATGATATGATGATATGATGATATGATGATATGATGATATGATGGGTTGTTTAGAACTAGAACTTTGGATGTGTCTAAGTCTAACGTAAGACGTAGTAAAATTTTAACTGAATTAATTTTAATTAATTTTGAATAATAGTAATAGTATTAGTGCTATTATTAGTATTATTGCTTATATCTTATAAAAAATAATTATAAGTCTAAGTGAAAGTCTAAATTTCTTAGAGTCTAAAACTAAGAAGATGATTATGCCTTAAGGCAGCGATTCTCGGCAATCCTCTGAAGTCCGGTCCCAAATTATTTCCAATGATTACTCCTTACTTAAAAGTCTTTGGCATCATTCTGTTTTGAAACTCATGTTCGCGTGGACGATGTTAGATGGAGGTTGTCGGCCGTCTAGATGCACAAACACTCGAGCGCATTATCACTAATCATGTGTTGCCAGGGACAACTATCGTCACGGACGCTTGGCGAGGATATCAAAACGTCGGTTAGCTCAACAACGGGAGTTACGCTCACGCTGTCATTGTGCACGAGCGTGAATTTATTGACCCAGTAGACCAGGAGATTATTTCACACAGAAATTATTGAAGGACTTTGGATGCAAGCAAAACGTAAACTCCGCTATCAGAGTGGTAGGCCCGCTAGTTGCGATCTGTTTGCCAGCTCCTTGGGGGCCTTTCAGTGGCGCAACAGTCACCAGCAGCACGTTTACGGCTGGTATTTGCAAATGCTATGTGCCAATGACAACATTTAGTATTTACTGACTGGTTTGTAAAGTTACAGTTATTTACAAAAGCTATGACTGACATATCTGCTGTTTTCTAACAATAAACATTGTGCATTGCATTTTTTTTTCATACGAAATAATTTGGGACCGGACTTCGGAGGATTGCCCGATTCTCAACCTGTGGGTCGCGACCCCTTTGGTGGTCGAATGACCATTTCCCAGGGGTCGCCTAAGACCATCGGAAAACACACACGCTCAAAAGTTCGAAGCAGCAACGAAAATAATTGTGTGTTTGGGGGTCGCCACAACGTAAGGAACTATATTAAAGGGTTGCAGCATTGGAAAGATTGAGAACCACTGCCTTAAGGCATTTCCTTGGTTTAAGTCTAGTTCTGTATTCTGATTGATTAGGTTTTTATATGTTGCTATGACTATGTGGTTGGTTTCACTGACTAATTCAGGAAATACATTCTATTTATTTTTAAAAACTCATATAATGTTTTTTTTTTTTTTTTTTTTTTTTTTTTGGGGGGGGGGGGGGGGTGTGACCTAAATGTAACAGTTTTCAGCTTCCATGCAAAACTATAACTGAGTGAAAGCATTACTTACAGTGCCCCCTCTACAGAACCCCCTTGCCCCTACAGCTATTTTTTTCTGCTACTCTCCACACCTGATTAAAATTCTAATCATGTTTTTAACATTTTTTAGCCAAAACAAAAGTGAAATAATTAACCGAGCTGTTTGGTTCATTCTCGAGAACAAGCATAAAAACTAACACGTATCATTCAATCTTGACTGACCCTTCGCTGGAATTGAACTCCATTCCACCAACTTCAGGTTTGCTCAGTTTAAACCATTCGACCACCTAGTCATCTTGATAACGAGGAACCTTTATCGAACGATACTGTAACACGGGAAGTATATAGACCTCACGTGACTTGCCGACTGCGTATAACTCTCAGGGTTATACGCAGTCTTAATGAATTAATGTGTAAATTATGTGGGTTTGTGTGTGTGTGTGGGGGGGGGGTGTTTTGTATGCAGGATACATGTAATTGAAATAATGATGTTTATACTATAATGTTTTAACCATTCTCTTTAATAAAATCACTTTTACATAAATAAAATTTGCTATTGTTTCCCTTTAGAACAAGCTGAAACCAAACAAAAGAAAAAATATAACCTAAATATAATTAAAGGGAAAAATGGTTGTGACGTTAGCATCACCACAAATCGCCAAGGATTATGGAGTAAGAAAAGAAAAGCTGATGTAAAAGAGCAAAAAGAAATTATTGAAAAGCGAAGACGAAAAAAAAGAAAATCTGCAATTGGTAGGTCTTCTTTGATAAATACATATAGTTTTAAAAGAAATTGTGTGTGCAGATAAAGAAATGAAAAGAGCACGAATGCCGGTGGACCATCAAGTTTCTTTAAACTTACTGCTACCGGTACTACTTTTAATGCTGAGGAGATTAAAAATTGTAAATATATTGAAAAACTTTTTTTTTAAATTTTCTTAGAAAAATACAAAGAGGAAAATGCTCAGGACAATACAGAAGTTAATGTAGAGGCTTTGAAAAGGATCACTGAACTAGGCAAAGTTGTTGACAAAGTAGCTGAGAAGGTAAATAATTCATTTATAAAATCTGTTAAAGAATTTAATTATTTTTTAAAGAATGTATAAATTCAATTTATTTTGCATATTTAAACATTTTGTTCTGTTTATTTCCAATTAATGATAATAAAACTAAGTAAAGAAACTGAATATATTTTCCACATTAGGTAGTTAGTGATCCTTTAAATTTCAAAGGTAACACATTTTTTTTTAAAAATTCATTTGCAGATACTCTACAAACAACCCTGTCAACTTTCAAGGGATTTGAAAGAAGTTGTTAAGGAAACAGAGAGTTCAGTTTTCACTGAAGAAGATTTCAAAAAGTTTGAAAGAGAATATCGACCTAAATGATGAATTTTCTTTATTTATAGTGGTATCATCTTGCAATTATTTTTATATTAATGTTTATGCCTTTAAAAAATAAATGAAAAATACAATATAAGATGAATTTATAACGCGTTATATACATTATTTGATTCTTTATAAGCAGCTCTAATTTTACCTTTAAACCTAACATGTTACTAATGCATCAGACTATTATAAAATTTAACTAGCTTGACTTTGTTTTTAGCAATATTTAAATTGCTTAAAAGTAATTTTCTGTAATATTTTAAGTACCAGTATTACACATAAATTGTGTGGTTACTGTCATAGGTGACAACATAGTTATAGTAGCTCCATTCCCCGGCTCAGCCACATAACTATAACAAGTAATAAAATTCGTTTTCACTATCCTCAGACTTCAGGTTTTTTATTTTTTTGCTTCGCACTATAATTATGATACCATAAACATTTTTATTAATTTTTATTTTTCCATGGTGCCGTAATAAATTATATAGGAAATTTAAAACACGGTAGGAGAAAACCTTAAAATGAGACATATTAAAACAATGAACTTTTGACAAGGTGCCTTCATAAGAGAACAAAACAGTACATCAAAGTAACTTATACTGTGTCAGAGAGAAGCACATAATTATCCGGTTTTCTCTTACCAACCAAGTTTTTTATTTCCCATTGCTCAACCTGGGGGAAAGGGGGTTTTACTATGGAAGGGCATTATGAGGCCTGGTAGTAGTGGTAGCATGCTGAATTTTATCCCTAGTAGATTATTGGAATATTACCATATAAATATGTTAGTAGATAGACATATGCAGCAAGCAGAGTTATGATTGCAATACAAATATGGATAAGTGATTTAAAGTAATAATTCACTTTTTATGTATGCTTTCCATATAAGTAATCAAGGGATCCATTGGAACCCTTAATAAATTATAAAGAGAAAAATGCTATAAACTTATCGTGGTCACAGAAAAAGATGGTAGTTGTTGAAGAAAAAAATAGTCAAAAGACCAACACCATGTTGATCCATAACTTCCAGTAGTATGTTCACAATTATTGATCCAATTTAAGCTGAGCTAAAAAAGTTTCTTGAGTTACAAGCAATTACATGCCAAACATGGTGATGGTGATGTATGAACTTCCCATCCTCAAAAAGTTTCTTGACAAAATATATACATTGGAGTAACCCACTTTATAAGAATCCCAAAGAGTGATAACTTCTGAAAATTTTATTCGATGCGTCTATTGAACACAGCATTTCAGTTACAGTCCATGCATACATATTTACCTAGAGAATTATTTGTTATAATATAAAAATAATTTCAAACACAAAAAGGGCTTTAAGGTATAGTAAATAGTATCAATCTTAACAGGGTTTTCTGTTTACCTAGGTAAATTTCTTTTCTTTTTATTCTTTTCTTTTTCGGAAAGGGGGAAAAGAAGACAGTGATTCTTAAATATTATACTAGAAGAAAAGATTAGAATTAAAAACAAAGACCAAATTGTTATCATTTTGAGTCAATTTATTAATAACATACAAAATAACATTTAACATACACAATATAAGATGCCACCTAGAATTAAATCAATATAAAATTATAAAGAAATTTCTAGGTGATCTTTCAGGCTGAAAAATACTTAATCCAAGTCATTGCTTAGTAAAACATTTCACTATGATAGCAGGTAAATGGGTAACTAATACCACTAGATTATTTTGCTAACATTATAAATTAAATTAGAACAAAAAAAGAACATGTAATTCTGTTATTGGGTATTTCTGTTTTAACATTATTTCAACCCAAAAGGACATAATTGGTAAGTTTTAAACCTTACTTTATTAGGTTCATGCATGCATCACAGGATTAAGCAGAAAGTAAATCATATTTCAACTATTCACTTAGACAGACAAAGTGATAATAATATAAGCAATAATTATATTAAAATATATATACTGCCTATTAAGCTGATTTTCTATTTAGATTAACAAAGTTCTTTTGTCTGGAACATTGGAAGTCACCAAAATTCATTTGCTGTGCTGTGAATATGCAGACAAGTTTGGTATTGTTTCTATTATGGTGGAGGATTTTAAAAAAAAACAGAAAATTCTCTCTCGAACATTTAACAAAAGACAGCGTTTTTTTTCCACCTGTAAATATTCTACATGTTTTTTCTAAGTTACAGTCATAAAGTTGTTTTCTTCTTGATAAAAACTCTTTGAATAAACTGAAATTGCATTTGAAATTCTTAACAGAACAACAACAAAAATTCCATGGAATTTTAACATTTTTTTTTCTCCAATTTTCTTAATTTTTAAAATCCAATAACAGCAGGCAGGACTTTTTTTTTTTAAGCCTACACACTTCACTGCTTTTGATATACGCCTGGTAATCTTGATATGATAAATCAATCTATTAAGGAAATATTAGATGACTTTAATAAAGAGGCTGAAAATCATTAATTGTGGAGGTGGTGCACATGAAAAGATCCTAAATGTTAATTTTGTTTTAAAGTTAAATTTAATGCGTCAGTATGCTTGAATCTTCCCAGGTCCAGTTGAAGTGCCTGGAAGGTCATCTTCATGTGTGCCTGAGCTCTAAAAAGAGTAAATTAACAATTTATTTAACGATCAATGGTAATAAAGAAAAATATGTTTATTTTAAAAATATTTATCAGCCTAAACTAAAATATTGAAACAGACAATGAAACAACAAGATTTGAGTTAATGTTTTTAACCAATCTTTTCAACAGCCTCTTAGGAGTAAATTACTCACTTTCTGAACATACTGTGGGTTGATTGCAATCTCCCTATCCATTTCTCTCAATTTTTCATCCAGCTGTATGCATCTTTGCATCTGAAATAATTAATTTGACATTATTGTAAATATTTATAGTCTTGAATTTCATGGCTACCTAAACTTTTTTTGCTTATAATAATGATAGATAATAAACAAGAATTTATTAAAATAATAATGAAATTTTAGGCAAAATTAAAATGCTTATTACCTCTTTGTCTAATTCAAGTAGCATATTTGGGCTATTGTAATTTTCAGGGTTGTCGTGGAATCGAACCATGCCATCCTTTTGATTTATAGTCGCAAATATCTCACCGTCCTCAATCTGTTTTTTTTTTAATGGACAGTTTGTTATAATATGTATGGGTATAAAGTAAAACTATAATGGAAAAACAACAGTGGTGTTTCTATAAAGAAATTGGATTTTCAAATAAAATTATTATGCCTAAAAATTTCCCCAGACCTGTTTACCCCCAAACTCCCTAAAATCGTACAATATCGTCTCAAAATCGTACAATGCAGTATTTTGATAGTAAATAAATAAAAATACAGTATATATAATGTGTACAAAAACTAATCCTATAGGGTGTTCGAGTTAAGCCGGCGTCAAAATATGGAACTGTAGGTAAACAGTAGATGACTGACGTTAACGGTAAAATGTTTTGCCGACGTGTATCGGCTACAGGGCTGGCCTTAGGCCATTGCACCCTATGCGGCCGCAGTGGGCCCAGCACTTTCATAGGCCCCGCACTAATTCTAGGTGTAAATTATTAAATTAAACCCTTATAACTTATAATCATGTATAGGACAGCGTGTTTATTCTGTTTTTATGTTTTTAAAGTGTTTTTTAATCTATTACGTCTTTGTTTTAAGTGATTACGACAGATAAATAGATTGAACAATTTGGCAATTCTTGCTATTGAGCGTGATCTATGTAGGAAACATATGACTGTATGACTTCGCTACACGCAAGGCTCGTAAAGTAAAAAAAATTAATCTGATCATGATTTTGTACTTAGTAAAGAATGAATAAAATGCAAAGACAAATTTATTTTCTAATATAAAATCTTAATTTTCACTTATCCTTATCCCTACCCAGACTTGGCCCCGCGCAATCCGTTTCGCATAGGGCCCCGCAATTGTTAGGGCCGGCCCTGATCGGCTAATACATATCAATTAATATATGGGTTAACGTGCTGATCACATTATCCCAGTCTGTCACAGGTAAAAATAAAGTCACTGGTTAAATTTAACTTTCTTCAAACTTGACGTCAGATGAGCATAAAATCAAAATGTATTAGAATAAGAATTAATTACCTGGTAACAAATTGGGACCCCCCCCCCCCCCCCCCCCCCCCAACGTGCTGATCACATTATCCCAGTCTGTCACAGGTAAAAATAAAGTCACTGGTTAAATTTAACGTTGTTCAAACTTGACGTCAGATGAGCATAAAATCAAAATGTATTAGAATAAGAATTAATTACCCGGTAACAAATTGGGAACCCCCCCCCCGCCTTTTGTATGTGTACGGTACAGTGAGCTTTAAAACACCAGCCCAGTCACCCTCCACCTCCCCCCATAAAATTAACAAAATCAAAACTCATTGTATATTAGGATTTTACAGTGTACAAAACAGACCTGTTTACCCTCAAACTCTAAAAATCGTAGAATATCATCACAAAATCGTTCAATACGTTATATTTATAGTAAAAAATAAACAGTATATACAAGCTATACACCTAAAAATCGTACATTGTACGCCAAAATCGTAAGAGTAAACAGGTCTGACAAAATGTGACACAGGTTTTCACCACTGGTGATTCGGCCAGCCCAGTGGTTCCCAGAATAAACGCCACATCGCCCTGGGTGCTCGTTGCCCTCGGACAAAGGGATGGCTGCGGCTTCCTCATCGGGCGTTGCGAAATATTTTTAAAAATTCGTTATTTTATTTTCACTTTTAAACCAATGGGACAACTTTCGGTCGTGGTGCAAACTGTAACCCACTAAGCAACCGTTGTTTGCAGTTACTGATGGTGCTCAGTGACCTACATACACATTATATTTATTTTTATCCAACCTTTATTTTATTTGTGTATTCGCTATTTCGAATTGTACGTGTTAGAATTCAACACAGGGAGCCTGGTGAAAACCTAGAATGGCTTAGGCGCAGGGAAACGAAAATTTTAGAATCACTGGCGTAGCCCACCGAAATATACGTCACACGCGCGCTGACCATTCGGTGCACTAACCATTACTGCAATTTCTCCACTACTGAGTTTAGGTATAGCTAGCGAGTTCATTTGTGAAAATACATCTTGACAAAAATACATCTTGACAACATCACGACGATAATTCCTGCTAAACATTGGCTGGTATTTTACAGCATTCGAGATATAACTGTGCTATTTTAGGACTTTCAGAGTTTCGGGATGAATAGTGTAGTATTTTTAAATACCGCATGTATTTTCTGTGAAGGAACGACCCCCCAACCTGAAATTACGAAAATGTGGGTTGCAGTGTTCATTTAAATATTTAGAACCGCGCCATACACTATCTCCTAAATCCACACCACTCTTTTCGTCTCTGATTGCTACAGAAAAGTCCGA